CCAGAGCAGACAAACCAAACACTGACTCTTGATAGGGCCTGCATGTGAGGCGAGGGGTAGTTGGTTGCATTCTGCAACTTCACCACTAGATGACACTAAATCCTACACACTGTAAACAGGAAACAGTCATTAAAACAATAATCAACTATGTAATTTAACAGTGCTGAGTTTACAATAAAATTTAATTAAATTTAGAACCACAATGTTGCACAAAATCTGTCTCTTAATTCATTTGTTTCCAATAGGGGCCTGCTCTTTTTTACTTTGACTGTATTCGATGTGGATAGAGTACAATGTGTGGCTTATTGAGCATTAAGGGCAGTGTTTCTCAAACCTTTTACACAGCATACCACCACAGAAAGTAGGTCAGTCCTATGGTAGGTTGAATCCTGACCGGAACCGGTTCAAGAACCAAGAGCTAATTTGTTGGGTTCCTCCAGGTCCAAACTTCCCAATAGTTCCTCGTTTGGAATCACAATTGCAGTGTTTTACCTCCACTTACAACCTTGCATCACATTTTAACTTGTTACTAATTATGGATGAATGCACGCGCAATATGCATGAACAGTATGTAACTTATACAAGTGCAAAATCTGCATTTTCATAGATTATGGATTTTTTTCTTTTTAAAGACTTTTTTTTGTGGAAATATAACATACAACAGATACACAATATTGTTCCAAACAGACTATTTGGATACATGTCTTTGGGGATCTTTAATGTTTTGTAGGAGAAAACCATCTCTTATTGTCTTTTTTCATTCAGAATCTGCCTGGAAACGAATCCTCTCCTCCCGATGCAGAACTGCTACTGGAAGCGAATATTCTTTGACAAAAACAATTGTGCACCGTCGCTAACAAAGCCGGGAACTGTTGTGGCGTTTTCCGTCTTCATTATAAATAGTATGGGTCTGACTGCTTATACTGCATGGGCTTAAAACCCACGGTGTGTGTTTGTGTGTGTGATGCAGTGGCTGCGTCTTTTTAAGGGGGAACACGCTGATGCAGAGCAGATTAAGTTCCACGGCAGGCAAGAGAATAATCTTATTTTCCTAACCCGCTTACTGCTATCATGGCACGGTAGATCCTTATTATTTAGAATCCCCCCCCC